GGGCTTCACTCAGGGTGATAGCCCTGGATAATAATTATTTCATTGTTATAACAAATAAATAAACAATGTCCACATTTAATGTTCTTATGCTATGTACAACATAAGGCCATGTATATGCATCAGATAATGTAATACTAGTTATTCTAATGATACAAGTAGTGGTTAAAGCATTACCCCATCCATCTTGCCATCCTTTCAATGGACTGTGTGAATAGTGATGATGCTAACCCTTGCTCTACTTCATTGTTCCATTTAATGGACTCATCAATTGAAGTTGATTTCAATATGTACAGTATCGGTACAAAGGTTTCCCTCATTACCAATTCATTGTCGTGCTGTAGGCCAGTGACTATTGTAGGCTCAACATAATAACCTTCTCTGTTTATTACCTAATTAATATTCATTAATTATTTATTATTATTATTAATTAAACTTACATTTCCACCACACTCAATAGTTCCTCCCTAAAACAAAAATTAATGAGTTATGTAATTATAATTATTAATTACTTGTTCCTTTATTTCTTTTATTGTGGCTACATAAGTATCAACAGCTGCTTGATTATGTAGTGGACCATACAACACTCCCTCTATGCAATTAATAACCATTAATAACTATTAATTAACTATACCATCCAATGGATCTCCTATCTTCACTTGTCCATAAGCTTTAATTAACCTTTTCAAAATTTCGTCATAAACTGATTCGTGTAATATCTGTATTAATTAATTAATCATTAATATTTATTATTATTATTATTATTTATTATTGTTATTATTATTTATTATTGTTGTTGTTGTTGTTTACCAGTCTTCTTGTTGTTGTGCAGCGTTGTCCTGCTGTTCCAACAGCTGCAAAAAGTGCTGATTTGACGACCATGTCCACGTCAGCAGTTTCATCAACCAGTATGGCATTGTTACCTCCCAGTTCCAGTATACTCTTACCGAACCTTTCCTGGACCATCACACCTACTTTACGACCAACCTATGATAAATTAATTAATTATTATTAACATTAATTGATATTACTTGAGTACTTCCAGTAAATGATAGTACATTAATTCTTTTATCTTTACACATTGACTCTCCGATATCAGACCCACCACACACACTAGTACAGACTCCAGCTGGTATAGCGTTACTTGTCAACACTCTCTCTACTATCTTACTGACTGCTATCTGAGTTAACGGAGTACTGGGAGCTCCCTTCCTAATTAATGGGTGGGGCTAGTTATTAACAGACTCCACCCACTCACCATACAGTACAGTTACCACACACTAAGCTAAGGGACTGGTTCCAACCAAAGACAGCTATAGGAAAGTTAAAAGCCGTGATGATTCCGACTAGCCCGTATGGATTCCATTGCTCCATTAACATATGACCCGGCCCTAATTTAATTAATTAATTAATTATTTTATTTATTTAATTACTTACTCTCTGATGGGAAGATGTGTCCTCCAATCATACGAGAGAGTCCGACAGCAAAGTCACACATGTCAATATATTCTTGGACTTCTCCAACTCCTTCGACGTGTATCTTACCAACCTCTAGCGACAACTAAATAATAATCAATATTTAATAATAATAATAATAGTTGTGTAACAGGTCAAACCAGCTTTCCCAGCAGATCCAGTTTTTCTCTGAGTCCTTGTGCTATTTGACGAACTATTTCCCCTCTTTTTGGTCCAGGGATCTACGAACAGTCAGACACTGAGGGAGGTACTACTTTTAATGAAGGACTCACCTCTCGCCAGACCTTCCATGCTTCAGTACCATTAGCAACAGCTGTGTTTAGGTCAGCTAATGAACCCTAATAATAATAATAATAATAATAATAATAATAATAACAGAATTAGACACAATGAGAGACAAGAGAGACAAAAAGGGAAAGCCCATAAGGGAAGAAAAATAGAAACGAAAAATGGGGACCAACCAAAAATAGGAAAATAAAATAAAACAACAATAATAAAATAATAACAAAATAAAATGACAATAATAATAACAATAAATAATAATTAATAAAATTTAAATAAATTAATACCTGTTTTACAGAAGCAATTGGTCGGCCAGTAGCAGGAGACTCTGACACTATCAACTACAAATAAATATTAAACATACATAATGTATGCATCACGTGATCCCTTGTACCTCTCCATTCCCGGTCCATTTCCTGCCATCAAATACCCCATTGTTAGTCTCTTCCAGCCCCAGCTCCTTCAGCCAGGAGTATTTGGGATCATTAATGAGATACCCAGCGGCTGCACTCATGGATCTGGTCTTATTGGTGAAGGATGGGGACTTTACAAATGAGAATAAGGCGGAACGAGAAGAAGAAATAAAGCACCTTATCATTATAATCAATAATAGTTAGATTAGCCACGCCCAATCCAATTAAAAATAATTATTAGAGCTATAGCGCATAGCACCTTCAACTAACGCCCACACACTACAAGCCTTGCTAAGTGCTAATGATTATTTCCCGGGTATTTTAAAACTCCAAAAGATGATCTCACGGCCCCACCACGTGTCCCATCGCCAACAGCAATCACTCCAGGGAGAGAAAAAGAGGCAATGGCATCTAAAGTCACCCAAATACCCAGCGGGAGCTCATCAGCTTCATTGCCAGGAGTAGGGAGACCAGGAACTCCTGCAATCACTTACACTGATCCACAGCAACCCAGCCTCTTCTTTACAGCATTCAACGAGCTCAGACAGCTACAGAGGTTCTGTGATTTGGAGCTGAGTCTTAAAGGAAGGACAATCACTGGACACAAACTCATCCTGGCCTCTGGATCACCTTACATCATGGAACTAGTCCACAGCAATGATCATGGATATATTGAGCTCACTGATACAAAGTTAGACCCATATGCTGTGAGTGTATTAGTGGAGTTCCTCTACACAGCATCATTGTGCATATCAGAGACTAATGTACTCGAGTTGTGCTATGCATCGCAGGTTTTTAGGATGGGCAAGATACAGAAATCTTGCTGCAAGTTTATGAAAAAAACTCTATCAGTTTCAAACGTCATTCCTTATCTTTTCTTTTGCCACGAGAACAACTATAAGACGGTTGGGTCTAAATGTATTGAGTATGCAGCTAATAACATCAGTCTTATAGTTAAAGAGAGCTCTTTTTTAAACATGACGGATGATGATCTAACTAAATTTATAGATACTCTCAACATCAGGCATACAAGAAATGAAACGATTGCTGTACAAGAATGGTCACAATACAATGGAGTAGAGAGGAGGGCTATGAAACTAGACAGGCCAGGGGTTAGTCAGCATATTCCGCCTCCTCAAGGAACAACTGACGGTCACCTGACAGCAATTCACACCAACACTCACAAATTGATCACTGCTCGTCATGGTGGCTTAGATCCAGACGAACTTAAAATGAAATTAAAATTATTGCAACAGGAGACCCGAGCAACAAGCAGCAACTCTGCCTTACATAAAGAAATCGACACAAATCTACCAAATGGAAGAGATACTAGTAACAGCATCATCACCAGTAGCAGTAGACTGATAGCAATAGGAGGAAGTACTGAGCACAGTGTCACTGATACTTGTGAAGTATTTAACACGAGCACACAAGAATGGGCCAGCATTGCTAAACTACCTCACAAGAAATCACAATCATCTTCAGTTCTGTATAACTCCAAGATATACTCAATAGGTGGTTACACTGGTCAAAGACGAAGACTATCAGTCATTGATGTTTATGACACAGTGAATAATAAATGGACTGTAGGACCTTCACTAGCTCAACCCTTGAGTGGTACCAGTGCAGTATTGAATAAAAATAGAATATTCATAATAGGAGGGTATAACGGAGCAGAGCACCTGAGGGATGTCAAGGTTCTAAATATAGACACGGGACAATGGAAGCACGGACCATCTCTTAATGTAGCTAGGTCATACTGTCAAGCAGTGATGCTACAAGGATCAATATATGCAGTGGGTGGGGCTAATAATGATGGACGACTAGCTAGTGTCGAGGTATTGTCACCAGGAGCAACACAATGGACCTACTCGTCACCTCTTAACACACCCAGGAGTAGACCAGGGGTGGGTGTCCATGGCAACCAGTTGTACGCAATAGGTGGGTACGACGGTATCAATCACCTGGCGACTGGTGAAGTGTATGACGCAACAACAGACCAATGGACACCACTGGCTGGTAATATGAGGGTACAACGGAATAGTCCTGGGGTGACAGTGGCACACGGGGCCATTTATACTGCTGGGGGTCACAATGGGACAGGCATTAATAAGAATATGGAGATATACGAACCCAGAGCTGGGAAATGGATCAATAGTGTTGACATGACGACGCCAAGATGTGACTTTTCACTAGTGACATGTACTAACGATTAAAAAAACTAAAAACAAATTATATTAATTAATAAATATTTATTATTATTATTATTATATTAATTTTTATTGTCTATGAGAGGAAAGGGCGGAGTCAGAGAAGTAGGAGAATTATCATCGGAAGATGTTTCGCAATAAGGAGTGGGTGGAGTCACTTTATTCAACCAATCAGAATCACGGAGAGGTGTGGCAGTTGCTAAGTTACTGACTGGAGGGTGGGACGGAGTACGATAAATGCAATCAACAGATTGAAAAGCTATTAATAAATAATAAATAAATATATAGATTAATTAATTATTATACTTACCCATCCTTTCATCCGTAAACAAATCAACCTAATAATAATAATAATAATGACATCATCACAATCAATTCTATAAATAGACAATACCTTATAAGGAGTGGAGTCACTGGTTATATTATCAGTTATTCTATTAGCTAATAGTTCAGTTGGGGAGGGAGGGGCAGCTAATGGAGCCGGAACACCTGTTGGTTCTCGTGGGGTCGTACTCTTTCTCTCTGTCTTTCCTGTACCAGTCTGACTGGTTCTAATAACCGGTTTAGGATCCTTTCTTTTTGATGAAGTTTGCTCTCTTTCTTTTGTCTTGATCACACCCACTTTTCTCACGACTGGAGTAAGATTAGACCCAGGACTATTGAAACGTAAAGTCTTTCGTGTTGTAGGTGTGGCCTCAATGGGCGTGGCCTTAAGCCTAGCCTTACTTAGGACACTTTTAGTAATAGCATCAACTGGAGTACGACCTACAGTACAATAGGTTACCATAGTGACCAATGATGACCACACCTACCTGCACTGAATATGATTGGACGATGAGACAAAAGAGAAGTGGGTGTCGTCAAACTAGAACTAGGCGTGGTCAAATCAGTGATGGGAGAATGAAGATGATACAATTTATTATTAACCTAATAATTAATAATAATAATAATAATAATTAATTAATTATATGTACAGGAGTAGGCGTGGTTTCAGTAGGTGTGGCAATGGGTGGAGCTTCATTATTCAACAGGATCATGCTTGAAATAGGAGGGGGTGTGTTACTAGTTAATCTAACGACTCTTAGCTCCTTCTCCAGTTCAGCTATCCTTTGAACTAACTCCTCATCAAGACTACACAATGATTTACTAAGAGAGAGAGGGAGAGGGATAATGATAAATAGGTTCAATGTTACATGCCATTATGTTTTTGGTTGATAAAACCTAAACTATCTTGCACAATATTTCATGCTAATTCTGCTATTTTTCTTTAGCAAAAAACACAGTCATTGGTCATAAAACGTAAGCAAACGTAAGCAAAATTGGACCAGAGTCTAAAAACCTAAACAAGTACATGTACATACAGTACACGTTATAGATAAACTACAGCTGTTTCTTGTCGCTGGGTACATTCACACTGATATCAGTTGATTAGAAGTCTGGCTGTCTGGGCGACACACAAAACAGCTGTACTTTATCTGGTTTGTACTATAGTGTGTGGGTGTACCAAAGGCACAGATATATATTGGCAGTTAGATGAGGTAAGATGAGGTAACATGTGTACGTACTTAAGTTGTTGAACTGATAGCAAGTGACTGGTATGAGCTCTGATTGATTTAGAGGAGAAATCAACTTCATGACTTAGATCAGGTATACAAACACCTACATGTAACAGCAATACAATAAAGAACTATACAATTTAAAAAGTACCTTTCTCAAAGTGTTTGTTTAAATAGTTCATTCCAGCAGTACAGATCTTTAATAATCTATTAGTTATTAATAATAATTAACTAATCATTTATTAATATTCATTACTCAATTAAATTGATGTTTCCATCATCATCAGTTACTCTAATCTGCTGAGTCATCAATCCTTTTGGAACCTGTACGCACAAAAACAACAACAAACAACAACAACAATAAACAATAAACAACAACAACAACAATAAACAATAAACAACAACAACAACAACAATAAACAATAAACAACAACAACAATAAACAACCAACAGTCCCACCTACCTTGACATTACTCAGTTCTTTCCCACTAATGGTGTGTTTGCTAGTACCAGTTGACTCCATTACAGTTCTTACTGTCTGTCTCTCTCTTTCATTTGATTCTAAAAACGTCTCAACCTTTTTCCACAGAAGCCGCACCTATTCGTTGCTATGGTAACTATTTAATTAATAAAGAGTGCCCCCTAACCTTGGTCTTGTTGGATTCTCTTGGACTTAATCTTAACAGTTTTAAAATAAAGATATTTATAAAGAATAAAGATTATTGACTTACTTGAGTTGTGGATCAAAAGTGCTAGTATCCTTCTTCATCATTATATTCAACTCATTTTCTAATCTTGTTCTCTCTTTACACAGTTGTCTGTAACTCAAACTAATCTCCCTAAAATGAATAATAAAATAGATAAAATTTCGCTCCAAAATCACTGGTAATTTTTTATTAAATTTTCTGATACATATTGATGTCTTTATGCTGTGTAGAAAGTTTGAGCTGATTCCGACTTTAATTTTTCAAGTTACGGCCATTTTTAAAAAACGCCAAAAATCTGAAAAATACCCAAGGCTATAGCCTATGGTTTTTCTGAAAAATGGTTAAAAAATCGCCCCAAATTTTTATTACATTTTCTGATGCATATTGATGTCCTTATGCTGTGTAGAAAGTTTGAGCTGATTCCGACTTCAATTTTTCAAGTTACGGCCTTTTTAAGAAAACGGCAAAAATCTGAAAAATACCCAAGGCTATAGCCCATGGTTTTTTCCAAAAAATGGCTAAAAATTCACCCCAAATTTTTATTACATTTTCTGAAACATATTGATGCCCTTATGCTGTGCAGAAAGTTTGAACTGATTCCGACTTCAATTTTTCAAGTTACAGCCTTTTTAAGAAAACGGCAAAAATCTCAAAAATACCCAAGGCTATAGCCCATGGTTTTTTCTGAAAAATGGCTAAAAAATCACCCCAAATTTTTATTACATTTTCTGATACATATTGATGTCCTTATGCTGTGTAGAAAGTTTGAGCTAATTCCAATTTTAATTTTTCAAGTTACGGCCATTTTTAAAAGACGCCAAAAATCTGAAAAATACCCAAGGCTATAGCCCATGGTTTTTCTGAAAAATGGCTAAAAAAAACCGCCCCAAATTTTTATTACATTTTCTGATACATATTGATGTACTTATGCTGTGTAGAAAGTTTGAGCCAATTCTGACTTCAATTTTTCAAGTTACGGCCATTTAAAAAAGGACAAAATTGTTTTAAAAAATACCCAAGATATCCTAGAATAAAGGGACTTTCATCCAATTCTGAATCAAAATAAAAATTTATATATAATATATCCAATTTTGATCAAAACCAGCTCAAACGTCCTAGTTCCTACTCATTAATTATTTGTTCATACTTTGAATATTCCCTCCATTGCTTGTGAAGGAGTGCCAGCTCTTCCTGCATTGATAGATACTCATTACATTCTTTAATGATATGGAAACATGTGCTCTCCTCATTCACATCCTTATACACAGGAGCTGAGGAATTCAAAGAATGTACTGAAGAAGGTATCTGTACTCCTGTAGGGAGAGAGGTCACGTGACCTGTCATGTGACTATTAGTAATACCTAATTCACTAGATTCTCTCAGTGTCACTTTCCATAAGCAATAGGTTGAGAATAAGTAGAGAAATGAATAAAATTTATCACCTAAAAACAAAACAAATAATTAATTAATTATTTAATTGGGACACACCCCCAGGTGAGAGTAGAAGTGGTGCAACAATACGTGGTAAACCAGAATTAGGTTCCTCCTGTTAATAATAATAATAATAATAATAATAATAATAATAATAATAATAATAATAATAATAATAATAATAATAATAAATTAATGATTCTTACTTTAGCAATGTTACTTATCCAGTTTGACGACTTCTTCCTGAACAGCTGGTCTTGCTTGCGATCATAAACCGGCCAGCAGTCCCGAAACTCCTCATAACAGAGATGAGAGTTCAAGACTGAGAACAAGTAATGGAGAATGACCTCCATCCCTTGCTTCTGAGGGGGGACGGCAAACATGTCCCTGAAATAAAACGAGTAGTAGTGGTATGATCAGTAATCACGAACTGTACAGGTGGTAATTTTGGAGGGAGAAAATTTTGACAAATTTTGGTCCTTTCACTAAAATAAAGCCCACCATTTGAACCATTATGTACACATGCTTAATCATCCATGGCCACAAATTGCATAAAAACCTGCCATTTATTCAAAAACTAGCAATTCTTTATCCCCATCCAAAATCACTAGCTACTACAGTATACAATAATTTAGTTAGAATTCAAATTATTACTATTCTCTCTCACTTGTTAAACTGTATCTTATATTTCTTTTCTGAAGCAACAGGGTTGAATCCCAACAATAGCATGTTAGTAAACCATATCTCTCTCATATTAAAGACAGGCCCGGGCCCTTCTTCAACAGTTAAACCCGAGGTTAAGCCAGTAGAAGATAAAACATTAACAAAACTGGGATCACCATTACCCGCCATATTTAACTAATAATAGGAGGCGTGACTCGTTATTAAATGAATGTGGTCATGAATAATTAATGAGTGTTGCGTGGGTGGGCTGACAGCATGTCTACATGGCGGGACAGAGACGAGAGAAAGAGAGGTAGAGATGACTATGATGTCCCTGACGGTAAGACCCTGTTACTATTAATAGTAACTGTTATATCTCAAGGATAGGCCCGCCCTACAGCAAGAGGGGGAGGAGGAGTGACCCTTCAGGGTACCGTGGGAGAGGGGGCGGGGCTTGGAAGGATGAAAGGAAAGTGGAATTGTCAACTGAAGAGAAATTAGTTTCGTTAATTGAAAGAGTTGGAAACGATACGGTATGATAGTTGCTGTATTATTATCATTAATATTTATAATAATGATAATTTTTATCATTATTTGTTATAATTATTATTTAATTATTTAGAAAGGTTTATTAGAAAATACTATTCAAAGTTTGGCAGACATTTTAATACCGGAAATGGACGAATACAAAGACAAGATAATGCAAACAATTATGAGATGGTAAGTAGGTGTGGTCTATTGTCCCCGCCCATTAATTAATAATAAACCAGCGCCAGAGAATATTCAGAGAAAATGTCAATATATTCGACACTAGTAGGAGCACTGAACATGAAGAAATCTGACATTGGAGAGGAGGTGTGGTCGTATGTTTGTTGTTGTTTATTGTTTGTTGTTGTCTAGTTTGTTGATTTGTTGATTGAAGACCTAAAGTCAGCACTGACAATGAATAAGTTCTTAAGCGTCAAATCACTGGTGAGTAAACTCCACCCCATACATGCACATGTACATGTACATGTACACCAGCAGCTGGTGTGCATTTAAGTATCTATTGCAGTCAATCTGTTGGTGCCTTTGGTCTTCTGATGTTACATACTGGACTGTTGCTAGAAAATAAAAAAGAAAAGCTCTTTTATTGAATAGAATAAAGTGAAATAAAATTAAAGTTAAAAAATTAAATTAAATGGAAAAGCTCTTCTATTCTGGACACCAACATAACCACATTATCTCATCAAAGTAACCACAGATCAACTGCTACCTGTTGTATAGTATCCTTTGTTGTACTGTACCCCCTTCTTCTTCTTCTTCTTTTTCTTGTCATTAGGTGAGGTTCCTTTCTGACCTAACCAATGCTAGAGTAGTCCCTCTATCATCAATAGTGTCTCTATATGACACACTAATAACTGTCACCTATGAACCAGGAATATCCCAGGTAGCCCCGCCCATAACCACACCTACTAATTACCCTCTCTAGTTGAGGTCTGATTGGTACACGTACGTTCTCCTCTCCTCCCTCCCGTGGGTGGGAGGGGAGCTACAGCAGAAGAGACAAGTGGAACTGGACAGACTATTATCAGCAATTGGAGGATACATGAGGTAATAATGATAATAATAACAACAATAATAATAAACAACAACAAGTTTTTTCTTTTATTATTTGGGTTCTCTATGATAACAATAATAATAAGTAATTTTAATAGTACAATAAGTTAATTTAATACAACAACAACAACATAATAATAATACTAAGCTCCTCCCACTCAGTAAGAGGACCACTAATTATCTTCCTGCTCTCCAGTCCTGGCAGTCCGACCGTCCCTACCCTCAGAGAGACGTAAGCCGCAATCCTATTGGTCGCTTACTCCCGTTTCCATAGCAACTGGACCTGTTATGGTCTCAGGTACTGAAGATGAAGGAGGAAGGTTGGAAGGTTAGTCTAGTAGGTGTGGCTTATATTTTTAACCCTTTAAGGAGGGAGTTCTTGTACGACCATACGCTCCATTAGAATCCGAACTCTCCTCAGCTTACGGAGTGAGTATTCATCACATGACTATCACATGATCTTATACATGTACATGTACATGTAGCACCCGCTCCCTAATATAATAATACCAGGCCACACCCTTGACTCCGCCTACCCCCTCCCATCCACTGTGTTCCGGTGTATTGGTGAATCAGACCTTCCTCCTCATGTCGTAAGTCTTAATTAGTGGGTGGGGCTGACCACGCCTCCTTATAGGGTCCCAGTCTACCTCAATCAGAGTCAATCAATAGATATCTGATCACCGATATCATCAGTTCAATCATCAACTCTCACACAGGGAACAGGAAGGCCTGGTCAGTCAGTTATACTAGAATATGCCGTTTAGCTCCAGTCAAAAATTTTGTTAAAATTCTAATTTCTTTGTGGAACAAAAACTTTGTCAGTTAAAACTTTTTTTAAGCAAAAATACATGTACCTGACGAATTTGACGAAAATTTTGACTGATGAAAATTTGGAGCTATGCGGTATAATGGAGAAGAGTATAATAGATAATAATAGAAGTAACACGGAATGACCCTCTCTTTTTCTTTTATTCCAATTAGTGCCCACCAGCTGAATGTCGTAATAGAAAGGCTACATCACTTGCCAGTAGAGTACATGACGGCTGAGGTCTTATTTGGATTCATATTCACCCTCCCTGTCCCTCCACATTCCCTCCTGTACTATGGGTCACTGACCATTGAGTTATGTAAACTAAGACCTGCTACATATCCTGTCATTGTATCCTCATTAATTATTCATGAGTGGGTGTGGTCACCACCTCATTAACTATTCATTATTTATTGGTCCTTGACTCCGCCCCTTAGCTAACTCAATTAATCGATATTCTATTTTCACAACTCGATCACATCAATTTTGTCGTTGCCGAAAGGTAGGTGTGATCACTAATTAGTGGGTGTGGTCATGCATTTTTATCGGCACAGGTTTGCCTGGTGGTTTTCGTATCACCTCAGTAACTATGGTTACCACTGGGACTGGAGCAAATGGTACATGCAATTATTATTAATTTATTATTTATTTATAATTATTATTGTAATTATTTATTAAAGGGTGTGGTGTTTACAGTGTGCTCCTGATAGCCCGCCTTGCTGGTTTGTTAAACAGGTTTTTGAGCGATGTAGCAGGTGAGAAGAATATTTTTAAAAGTCATCATTAATTGGCATCTTTTCAGATTAGGATCTCATGAAGTATTTTCGGAACTGGTACCAGATGATTTCAAACCACTCCTGACCCCGCCCAACGATTCTTACTACCTCTATGCTGAAGGTATTTGATAATAAGTATTAATTAACTGATTAGTGGGCGTGGCAGATGGAGTTCAGGGTTTTGAGGTTGCTAAGCAACTCGTTGAGTCGATGAAAGCTAAAGTACCACTGGAGAGGCTGAAGGAGGTGCTTGATGGAACTGACATTGGGAATAATTCAGAAGAACGTCAGTTATTAATATAATTAATTAATAGCTAGTTATTAATAGTTATTAAAAATAGAATTACTGGAGCTAAAGGTATCAATACTCACTCACTGTATCTTGCATATTGGAGATAAAACCATCAGTCACTGCTTCACTGCTTTGCACAAGTATAGTATACTGAATTATCCAGAGTTTTACTGAGTTTTACTAGATTCCGATCACTATTGCTGGAACTCCTAGAGACTGAGAATGCAAAGTTATACTGTCTGTCAGCTGTGGGAGAATTCTTTGAAGAAAATACTCAAGTACAAAATGTCTTAATTGTAATTATATTTAAACTCATTTCTCCATTTTCAGTTGCACTGTTTAGTGATAGATAGGTTAGTTAGGCAAGAGCTCATTGATAATGGATCAATCATTAAATGGTGCTTCACCTCTTCCAATCACCCTGACTTCACCAGGTGCTATTAATAGCATGACGTTGCTTGTTCTATTATTAGTAACACTGTTTCTAGTCGGCTGTTTTGGGATATATTAAGAAGCTCTTTCTCTCGAGTTAATAAAAGTTTACTGCAAGTAAGATGAAGATGTGTTATGACAGTGCTATGTGGTACTAATAGTGTGAGAAAGAACTGGAAGAAATCAAAGAAAAACTTCAAAAAACAACAGTAAGACGTGAGAAAAGTCTCGTACCCCAGGGTTTCCCACAAAGCATGCTAAGAGAGCTAAATAGCATGAGCTTCATGAGCTGACAAGCACTACAATACAGTACATGGCATTTGGAGCAACTTTAAAAATTATTAGTAAAGAATCCAATTTTGATCGGAATCAGTTCAAACTTTCTACACAACATAAGAACATGTATATGTATCAGGAAATGTAATAAAAATGAAGAATTCTCTCCTTTTCATTTTTGGCAAAATTTAACCAAAATACCTGTACTATAGTAAAGGGTTATTGGCCCAATTTTTAAGTAACTTGACAAGAAACCACCTGAGTGTTATGCCAGAATTCTGTGGGAAACCCTGACGTACAGTATATATAATTACATGTATCTCATCTCAGGGTCTTGATGAGTTAGTTGATGGAACTGAAGACAAACAAGAGCTGGAGTGGAAGATACAAGAACTGGAAGAGAAAGTGGAGGAAAGAAGCACTGAACAGAAAGAAGTCTTCCTATCAACCTGCCGAGTAAGAACACAGACCACACCTACTAATCAATACTAACCACACCCACTAATCATTAGTATTTAATTGAGTCGCTATGTTCCCATTTATCGACTTGCGATGAAGAAGGAACTGATTATGAAACTACCTGGTACACCTGTATCACTGATAATACCCGCCAGTTATTAATACAGGTAATAATGACATCATGTGACTGTCATGTGATCTGTTACTATTAATAGTATCACACTGTCTATCGACAATATTCATATTCGTTAGAGAGCGATTGTTTTGGGGGCGGAGTCGACTTAAGAGTACAAGAAATATACAAACAATTTCAAGGAATACTTTAATAACTTATTAATAACTGTTAATAAGTATTAATAACTGCTACTGTACATTTGTTGTACATGTGTTTAAAAATCAGTGACCCTTCCTTTTCTTTCCCAGTCACCATAACGAGTTGGTTCCGGCCCACGGGGGCCCCCTCTCTCTCCTGTATGAGGGTTGACACCGTTAGGCCAGGGAGGGAGATATGGGTCAGGGGCGGGGTCGTCTTCTTGGGTGGGCGTGGTCTCGTTTGCTTTCCCACCATCTTTATTCTCTCCTTTATCAGAATAGTTCCTCCTGATGGCCCCAAGGGTAGGAGAAGAGAGCCATAATCTATTGTTAGCGGTCAGTCTACAGCTGGTAGATAGGAGAGGAGAAAAGTGCAACCATTTTGATAAAGAAGCCATTTTTACTAATTATTATTCATCACACTCAATCAATTAATTAAAAATGTCCACGCCCACTCAGTCTCTTTTCTTAATTCCTCCTAATTTTCTTTTTCTTTGAGACCACATGTGCGACAATAAAGAGTAAAATACTACAAATAAATAATAATAAATAATAACAATAAAACATAATAAATAACATTATTATTTGAGTTAATTACCAGGTGGTAAAGAGATGAATATCAATACTTTCATTACAACAGGGTCCACTGCAATGTTGAGTCCATTAGGTAGAGGATAGGACCAACCTCCTCCATTAGCTTCATACAATAAACTGAGCACATAAATACACACTATAAAATAAATAGAAAATATAATTAACATAAAAGACATTTTTGTGGCCCAAAAATTCACTAAAAATTGCTAAGTTAAGGTCATTAAAAAATATCAAAGCCATTTGTCCCATTTTAAATCTATCTTGTGCTAGTTTTACTTTGTATAATCTTTAAAATTAGCAACAAATTTGGACCCACAAAAGTCTCACTGTACACAATACTTCTCCTCACACACGCTCGCGTACATTCAAAAGTGAGTCCCAGTGGGTAGAGAGGGATCCATAATGAATACCTCAGCCACGTTATCAGCCACACCTCCTTCTTCAACACACCTAGGGCATAGTACGGGTATCTATAGCAACAGAATCATTACCATGGCAACAGGAGGGGCAGAAAACATACCTGACTAGTTCAATAAGAGACCAAGCTAAGAACAAGAGAAATACGAAAGGAGATCTTTGTAAGGAAGGACAGTAAGGGATGGTTAAGAAGAGGATGTAACCACGTCCACACGTCTAGAAATACATGTATACATGTAACCACACCCACCAAACCCACTTGTAATAACGATGAGACGATGTCACCTTTTACAAAACCCAGAGCTGAGTGTACCACTTCTAAAAAGGCTCCGATTTGACAAGCCATTAATAATGGAGCCACGTCACTATAGGCCCTAGAAATACCAACTGACCACGCCCACAATCAATGAATATAATTAACATGATTAATTACCTTCGCCGTAACTTAATAGAAATATTAATCTTGTACTTATTAATAGAAACCCAAGGAATTGCACAACATTGTATATGACTAGATAAGTGGCTGTCACTTTATGGGATACTGGAGGAGAGGGGAGGAGCCTGTTGCTATGGTAACATGTATAGCTTACTGTCTTTGACTGTATCGCGTAATTCAATTTCCCGTTTTGTTCTTTCCTCAAGTAATTTCAACTCCTAAAATAAATCAATAAATAAATGAATAATAATTAAATAAAACTCACTTGTTGCAGTGCTTTTCTCTTCCTAAGTTCCTCCATTTTGTCATTATCTTCATCATCTTCATCTTCTGATATGTGAAAGTGATCAAAATCAAGTTTAATCCAGTGAGGCTTCACGTGAGAGCTTTGTAACTTGGACCATTCACCGGCTAAAGGAAATAATGTTTGAGTTGATTCTGAATGTAAATTTTCATTTATGAGCATTTTGAAAAATTGGCCAATTTTTCCTAAAAAATGGCTCCAAAATCACCCCAAATTTTTATTACATTTTCTGATACATATTGATGTCCTTATGCTGTGTATAAAGTTTGAGCTGATTCCGACTTTAATTTTTCAAGTTACGGCCATTTTAAGAAAACGCCAAAAATCTGAAAAATACCTAAGGCTATAGCCCATGATTTTTATCCAAAAAATGGCTCCAAAAATCACTCCAAATTTTTATTACATTTTCTGATACATATTGATGTCCTTATGCTACATAGACAATAGTTTAAATAATAAACAATTCTTACAGTTTTTCTTGAGCAAACGAAACTCAATTTCATTCTCGAATACCTTCACACGACATTTCTACAATAATTTTTTAATAAATAAATAATTATTTTAAATTTTATTGATGACATACCTCAGTATTGATTGGCTCATGGAACACAAGCTCAAATCCATACCACTTCTTATGAGAGGAACCACCAGTACCGTACCCTAATAATAAAAACAACAATAAACAACAACAAGGACAACAATACCTTTGAAATTCATGTGTGTATCATAAATATTAAAATCCGGTTTCTAAAAAATAAAAACTAAATTAAAATTTAATAAATGTATTTATTCCAACTTCAGCTAGTTGTATCTGTACTCTTAACAGGATCATGTCCCGCCGCTGGGCCCAAAGAACTGGAGGTTTCAGCAACTCACCCTCGTCCGCCATTTTGAATTTAAACTAAAGGGTTAAAAACTTAAAATTATTAATCAGTGACGTCACAAGGGAGTGGCTGAGATTGCTGCAGAGATTAGAGGAGGCAAAGAATGGCTAAGACAGTATTTACCCTCACCAGCAGCGAGCTAAAGGTTGATGATGACATGAAGAAAAGCTTTGAAGAGAATGGCTACATTATAGTCAAGTAAATAGAGGCCTATATAATCCATACCTGCAACATTATCATTATCTTATCAATACTTCCTCCCTCCCTTTCTCAGGTCTTTATTAAGCAGTGAAGAGTTAGAGAAGCTATCAAGAGTCCTTGAGATTGATGGTGGCATTAGAGACAATGCTATACTCCTCAATGACGGCCATGGAAGGAACAGCAGACTGAGTGTATGGAGTCACCCTGGGAAGGACATCACTGGTATGCTAGCAAGATCTGATAAAGTAGCTGGAACCATTGAAGAAGTAATGAAGAGAAATATGGCTAATATTACTTAGCTAATATTACTGCAATTTTATAGTTGCTTGCTAACATTTAATCTTTTCTCTCCATTAGTTGATGGGCGGTGAGGTCTATCACTATCATACTAAACTTGTGATGAAGGAAGCAAGAACTGGTGGATCTTTTGTATGGCACCAGGACTATGGGTACATTATGTTGAGCTTTTAACTAAGTAGTGCTACAATATTCTATCTGAATTCTTCTCTTACAGTTATTGGTATCAGAATACTTGCCTGTTCCCTGATTTAGCCTCTGTCTTTATTGCAATTGATAAAACAGACATAGAGAACGGCTGCCTCAAAGTAGGAATAAATAATAATTATTATTATTTTAAAAAATAAATTGAACATGTTTAGATATTGAAAGGGTCTCACAAAGCAGGTCGAATTGATCACATCAGGGTTGGTGGTCAAAATGGAGCTGACATGACAAGAGTCGAAATGTTAATGAAAGTAATAATGATTAATAATAAATAAAGTAATAATATTACGTACAATTAATATCTATTCTCTCATCCTTTATTTACTGCAGAAATTGGAGCTGATAAATGTTGAATTAGAAGCTGGTGATGCTCTCTTCTTCCATTGCAATGTCCTCCATAGATCAGACCAGAACAACAGTGACAGGAGGAGATGGGCCTTCATTCTCTCGTACAACATGGCTTCCAACGACCCAGTACTACCACACCATCATCCACAGTACACTCCGTTAATAAAAGTATGAGAGAGAGGGAGAGAGTGACTGTTGATTTGATGATGAGTAGGTGAGGAATGAGGAGATATTAGCTTGTGATTGCACTGATTTGAGCGGGAAAGGATTCATGGACCCAGCTGATGATAAAAGCATTGAAGCACAGAAAGTGAAAGAAACAATTTTACCTATTTATTTAATCTCTATTTATTTATTTATTAGGAGGTTGATGTCAATAAAACTTCTTCATAAACTGCTGCATCATATCTCAATTAACAGCTTTACTAAATTCCCTTTATATTTTGCTAAATAAAGTTGTTATTATATGTGGGCGTTAGCTCAAGGTGTTAACAAGGTGCGTGGGCGTTAGCTCAGGCTAAAATAAAATTAATTTTAAGGATCAACTTTAAGTTTTGAAGTTAATTTGAAATATCCGTCTTCTTGAAACTCCATCACAACGAGCTGGCAGTTTTCCAAGTTCCACAAACGATGAAAATACTCAATCTAAAAGTCACAATAATAATAATAATAATAAAACAACAAGTACATGTATTTACTGGCCAGTGATAAAATCTTGTTAAGAACAGTCGACAGAACAGCCCATGTGATACTATCACTGCATTCTGACCACACCTCCCTTTACCCATATCCCTATACAAGGACTCCAGAAATATAGAGACTCTATCAAACACATCAGCTCCACTATACAGACAAAGAACTGATTGAGGAGATATCAGGGTGTGACTCTTCACCTTTCTCCTGTTGGAAACCGATAGAAGAATGACCCAATGCTTCTTCTCTCATCCATAACCTGACCCATCTTCTCTGGTACCTGATAGTTGCCCCATTCTTGTTCTCGTATCCTTGGGTCTTCTCTTTCATATAAAACCTAACGAAAGATGAGGAGGAGGAGGAGCAATAGTTTGTTACCTGTTCATTGGTGAAGGCTGCTCTTATTCCTTCAAAAGTTTGTTTTGATCGAAGAAATGGTGACACATAAAACCCACAGGATTCCGTACCAATCAGTTCCTTAAGCTCCAAACCTGCTTTCTAAACAACAAGTATAATAACAACAACAATAATAATAATAATAATAACAGATTCCATTCTTACTTTAGCCTGTTCTCTTCCTTTATCAGTAATCTTTAGCTTAGCATCAGGTGTAGTTGCATATAAAGAGTTATCAATATTACCCTCAGACTATTAAAAGAATAAATAAATTAATTAATAAATTAAATAAATAAATAAATAAATAATAATTACTTCAGCATGTCTTATTAATATGATTCTTTTAGGATAAGATTTTAAAGAACGTCTTGATTTAGCCTCATCCAATCTGTAAAAATAAATAAATAAATAAAAATAATAATGTCCACGTACTCTTCCAGTAGATAATCAATGTTAACAAATCTAGCAGCAGGCAGTAGTCCTGATCTCCTCCTCAGTTGGTCTATACCAGTGACTATTGATAGTCTGTGTCCAATGATACTGATACCCATCTTGTCCAAATGTTCTTCTGTTAACTGCATCAGAATGGCTCCGTTAGTAATGGCATGATGATTGAACTTAGATTTATATTGAGAGAATCCTAGTTCAGTCAGCCAGGCAATAATATCAGTATAGTTCCATTTCTCAACAGGAGAAGGGGGTGTGTCACTCTTTGTTACAGTATCTGCTCTATAAAGAGGATGTGAGTCCGCCTTGTCAGTTAGTGGAGGAGATAAAGGACTCAGTACTCCTCCACCTAGTGTCCTTATGTCCTCCTCTCTTGTAACTCCAGAGGCTCTATCACTCATTTTCAGTTTCTTAATTAACTAGCTCTACCCACTCATAAAATTAATTTTATCAACAGCAACAATAATAATGGCTTCATTATAACAACACGTCTTTTTCTGTTTCTATTTTTCTGTATTTATTGCCTTTAACAATATGTGCAGTAACAATCCGTCAGCCATTATAATAATAGAACGTGCATGTTTAAACTATAAAAATAAGAATAAACTTATAATTATTATTTTAATTGTGTTACTACATACCTGGGGAATCTTCCCTTTGATTCCTTTGAAGGTACCAAGAATTGAACTCAATGAAACCTGTAAATCCATTGAATTGGTCCCTTGGTATGAACCAGAGCCCTAAAAGTTTAAAATTAATGTAAGTATAAATTCTGTTTTAATATACCCAAATCAATGTTGCACTCGATTGCAATGCACATAGAGACATATGCCAAAATTGACACACCACTGCCAATAGTGGTGTAGAGTAGTGTCACAACCTTATTCTTTATTGTCCTCGTAAAGCCACTTGAAATGAGGTTCCCTAGAAATGGACCAATAAAAATTAATCAAATAACAATTCATTATTTTCTTACGAAGACAATAAAAAAGTTAAACAATATGTCATAAATAGGTTTTGAAGTGACAGTTCATGTATGCATAATTTATGGATAAAAATCAAAATATACGTATTAGTTAAAGCACTGTTGAGAGTAGGTTACGGAAATTATTGCATGAGGGGCGGTTGAGAGGAAAATGTAGCATGAGGCGAAGCCGAGTGCTACATTTTCGTCGAGACCGTCCCGAGTGCAATAATTTCCGTAATCTACGAATCAACAGTGCTTTGATTGGTTTGTAGTGGTGCGTGGGCGGATCAAATGAAATTTCAAAAGTCGCGCAGGTGGCCAGCGCAGGTGGCCAGCACAAGACGATCAGATCTCATTTATCACTATTATTGTTGTTACATGTCTAGTGTATGTAGCCGAGGCTGTTATTTGCCTCTATCAAAGCTTGTGGTTAACAGGAAAGCCCATACATATTATACTATGCAGTACTATATATTCCACACAGTGCTACATTTTCCTGCCGTGCAGTTATTGGAAGTTGTAGCACTGGCGGCACCATACTACAAATAATGTGTATCATGAGGACACTTTTATAATGAGGACATCTTGTAATGTCTCAATTGGTACAAGCCTATACAAAAGTACCTCTGAAATGAGGACACCTCTGTATTAAGGACAGGTAGTGTGGGCCCAATGGTGTCCTTAATAAAGAGGCTACACTGTACATGTATTAAGGACAGGTAGTGTGGGCCCAATGGTGTCCTTAATAAAGAGGCTACACTGTACATGTATTAAGGACAGGTAGCGTGGGCCCAATGGTGTCCTTAATAAAGAGGCTACACTGTACATGTATTAAGGACAGGTAGCGTGGGCCCAATGGTGTCCTTAATAAAGAGGCTACACTGTACATGTATTAAGGACAGGTAGCGTGGGCCCAATGGTGTCCTTAATAAAGAGGCTACACTGTACATGTATTAAGGACAGGTAGTGTGGGCCCAATGGTGTCCTTAATAAAGAGGCTACACTGTACATGTATTAAGGACAGGTAGTGTGAGCCCAATGGTGTCCTTAATAAAGAGGCTACACTGTACATGTATTAAGGACAGGTAGTGTGAGCCCAATGGTGTCCTTAATAAAGAGGCTACACTGTACATGTATTAAGGACAGCCCAATGGTAATCCACTATGTATATATATGTGTGTGTATTTATTTTATTTACTCGATTTGTCCATAAGATATAAAATGAATCTAATAATGATGACATGAGAAATGACTCCAAAGGCAAAAGGAGGCATCCATAAGGAATAGAAGGCTATCTTTCCTTGTTGATCTTCAGCAACAGATCCATTTGAGCTTTCTATCAACATAATGAAGAAGAAGGTACAAATAGCCATTGTAGTCTTTGATGCTAGTCACATGATACGGGAGCCAAATATGGCGATACCATTAATTACGCATGTGCTGCGCACGCGTGACAAAATTTACCTAAAAATAACTGGCTCATATTTGAATACAATCAATACCGTATAGCTGGTTTATTTTGTGGCCTCAAATTTTTGCTGCTTAAATTTCATTGGAATTAATTTTAGTGCCTTGCTAATTTTTTAACATTTAATTGGTTTTAATAAAATTTAGTGGAATTAATTTTAGTGGATTTGAGCCTGCACGAAAATTAATCCCACACGAAATAAACCAGCTATACGGTATCCATGATAAAGTAATCAGAATATGCATTATGCTAAAAACTGTGCACTATTAGAAACAATAGTGTCTAACAGGCCGGTATATTTTGAAGAAATTTAATTTTGTTTCAGCATTAAATCATACACTATATGGCTTGCTTCTTAAAACTTGTGTAATGAAACGCATTTTATACAAGAGTCAATATATTTCAATATATTTCATGAAACAAGTTTCAGTACTGTACAGTAGCCTTATCTATTATCATATCAAGCATACTCATCCACATTACACTCCATCATAAACTTGTGATAACATTAACACAACCTAGCAAACTAGAGTACAATAAAATAGCTACAAGGTACCGGGGTATACAAACAGCTACACATATAATTTGATTACAAATAACAAACAACACTGACAACTAACTGGACAACACTGACTGACCTGCTTACAAGAGCCTAACTGGACAAAAATGGCTGACAGAAATGAGGCTACAGTTATTATTAGATATTCACACTCAGGGCTGACAACCCTCCTCCACATTACATAAATGGTTTGATGTAATCTGATGATTCAGCATTGCTCACTCAATACAAATAAGTTCATTATTATGAAGTATATACTAATATATATTGTCCAGTTTTGTCATTGTCTTTGAAATGAGTATGAAACAATTTAGCTTCCTATCATACAAAAATTGAATGGACCACCCATTAAAATAAGTACCAATAGTGCATACCTGTACATATGAATTGTTGTGGAGATATTCTTCAATTTTTGATAACAGAACGTCATAAAACACAATATGAGTGGGCGGGTCCTTAATATGAATTAATAACCAGTCAAGAGGTGATGAATAAAACTCTGTTTCTATATTAGGAAAACCGCTATATAAAGAATGTAGGTAACACCGCCCACACAATTAATTAACTCACTCGTCAGGAAGACACTCCAAGAACTGCAACTGATGATCACCATGGAGATAACTAATTAATAACAATTAATTATAATTACTGTACACCGGTTTGTTTTCGTGGTAATATTTTCGCAAATTTCGTGGTTTTTGATCAGTCGTGAAAAATTTTTACCGCGAAATTTTGCTCTTCATTGCCACATGGTGCAGTTTGCAAGCAACTCGTAAAAATTAATTCTACAAAATCTTAGAAATGCAAGATTCACGAAAATTTTTCACCACAAAAATAAACCGGTATACGGTAATAACAATTAATTACCTGTATAAAGGAGTTGAGTAACAAGGTAATAGAAACAATACTGATGAACTGCTATTGACGCTCTATGAATAATTAATAATAAATATTAAATAATTATTATTATTATTAATTACTTGTCTTAAATGCTTCATTACTGATACGTCTCCTCTTTGATGAATGATTGAGAAGTACAGTGACATTGGCACGTTAATTAATATTAATATAATAACTATAACTTTAATAACTAGCAATAATAATAATAATAGCAACGAACAATATTAAATAAAAATACCTTTTGAATTTCTATTTAATAAACTAGAAACACTCAAACCTGCAGCAGGTGGAATAGAAAACATTTAAAATACATGTACACGTACATACCAATGTAAGGTATTGATAGTGTTAGAGATGGTAGTACGAATCTGAATTCTTTGTGTTTTATAAAACTGTGAACTATCAACAGAATGACAGCTGCTGCCAGTGGAGAGAGTGAATGAAGTGGATTGTAACTATTTATTGATGAAATATAAAGACCATGAACCAGAAGAGGAAGGAATGAGAATAACATTGCAGGAAACCCTTGAGATATGTACCTAATGTACATGTAAATAAATAATAATAAATAAATGTATAATTACCAATGCCATGGGTGAGTTCCAAAATTTGACGATCGTCCCTCCAAAATATTAAACTTTAGGAACTCGTATTGAACAAAAACCCACTGAACAATAATATAGAAAATTTTAATAATGAATAATTAATGAGTTGACTGACCTTCCCATAGTAGAATCTATCAATTAATATCGACCATAATAAAGATAAAAAACTAATAAATAAAATAAATAATTAATTAATTAATCAAACACATCTCCTTACATCACTATTATCATAATGATGAGTGTTTTACGAAACTCCACCCACTTCCTCCTCCCCCTTTCACCTGATGCTCCTCCTCCTCTTCTTATAATAATAATTAAATGAATTAAACAAAATGGAGCCCACAGTATCACTCCAGTAGGTCTTACAAGAACTGATAAAGCCATCAGGACCAAGTAGAGTGAAGTATGGAGACTAGTCCGTGTATAATCACACATTGTCTTATTAGATATACTGTCATTAGTATTGAGTGCTTTGATCCAGTAGTAGAGTATCATTGGAGAGAGTGATGACTCCATTGTATTGGAGAGTGTCCTGGTACAGCAATAGAATATGAACCATGAGAATATGTGACAGAGCAACTACAGAAAATAAATAAATATACATATATTAATTATTAATAAAAATGCAGAATTTCTACCTATTTGATTTTTGCAAAATTAGGCCAGAGACCATGTACTGTAGTACAGGGACTTTGGCCTGATTTTTTAGCAACTTAAATTAGTAAAAAATCCAATTTTGATCGGAATCAGCTCAAACTTGCTACACAACATAAGAACATGTATATGTATCAGGAAATGTAATAAAAATGGAGAATTCTCTCCTTTTCATTTTTGGCAAAATTTGGTCTGTAACCCTGTACTATAGTACAGGGACTTTGGCCCGATTTTGGAGCAACTTTAAAAATTCGTAAAAAATCCAAACTTGATCGGAATCAGCTCAAACTTTCTACACAACATAAGAACGTGTATATGTATTAAGAAATGTAATAAAAATGGAGAATTCTCTCCTTTTCATTTTTGGCAAAATTCCCTGTACTATAGTACAGGGACTTTGGTCCGATTTTGGAGCAACTTTAAAAATTCGTAAAAAATCCAAACTTGATCGGAATCAGTTCAAACTTTCTACACAACATAAGTACATGTATATATATGTATCAGAAATGTAATAACTTACTGCATATTTTGCAGTTTCCTTGCAGTTGAACATTATTAATGTCAACTTGTAAATAAACCAGTCAGAGGCAGCTGCTATGAGACTTTGAAATATCTTTGGACTCTCAGACTATTAATCAATAATAATTAACAATAATTAATAATAATTTAACTGATTATAATCATACTATCATCCATTGCGAGTTAGTTCCAGTAATTGTTAATATTTTATAAATCAAAAAAAATAGAAAAGGATGAGTATACCCTCTCAGACCACGCCTCCACTCCCAGGTCAAATGACCTCTCGTAAAAACAACAACATATTAAGAAAATAAACAAACAAACAATTGTTTACTTAATATAATGTACAAGTATATATTAAGTGTAATAATAGTGAATGTAAAAGGATATTGGTAGTTCATGTAGTAGGAGACCTCAATGCTTTGAAAGTATTCATCAGGAACAAACCGTGTCTGTACTAGTAACGCATTAATGAACCGATAGAGGATCAGGAGGGACAGGAGAGTATTAGAACACCTGCTGTAGGATTGAGTAGGAGGAGGTGGTTCTTCTTGTTTTGGAGGAGAGAGAGGAGCAGAATGAACCTGTCTCTTCCTTAGTCCATCATCAGTGGCCATGTGCCTGGATTCAGAGGATTGTCAGTTTGTCATCATTGTGCCATCATGACTGCACTGCCATGTGGGCAAGTTATTGGAAGTTAATCCAAGTGCTTTAATTAGAACAATGCCCATTATTAATTGTCATAGAACAACAATGTGGAGCAACAACGACAACAACAATAATAAAAATAAAAAATAACAATAATAACGGCTTTATTATAAGTACTCTTTGATGTTCTTTTTGATGTTCTGAAGGTGTTTATACACATACTATAAAATAATAAAATGATAATTATCATTAATTCTTAATGGTTTCACCATACCTGGGGGATCTTGCCTGCAATACCTTTGACAGAACCAGGACTTGTACTCAGAAAAACTTCTAAAACTTTCAAATTGTTCCCTCGTTATGAACCGATTTCCTAAATTTTGAAAATTAATGTAAATTTAAATTATGTTTCAATACCCCGATCATTCCTGTCACATTTGAACAGAATGCAAAGAAACACATAAGACAAAAAGGAGGCCCCAGTGGTAATAGCAATGTAGAAACAGGCTGCTCTGATATTATTTAGTTTTAGGTTCCCTAGAAATGAATTTATAAAACTAAATCAATTGACAATTATTGCAATCAACTGATATTATCATTGATTGTCATGTATTGTTACTGGATAATTGACGAAACAAGATGCTAAAAAACCCAGTAACCTCATAGAACTTGTTCCTAGTTAACAAGCGTATATAAGTGTAAAAATTGTCCTAAGATTGATTTCACCACCTTGCGCGCATAGTAGGCATTTATTCCTTCTTACTAAGACTTATAAAGGTTCTTAATACCTTCTAGTGATTCTTGATAAATCTTTAGGCATCATCTTTGCTTTATTCTTCTTGGTAGAAAGCTCATAACTTTGTTCTGCTTCCGTGCCGCCATTTTGCTTACCGTGGCCACACCCACTTACGTGAGGGGCTGGGTGGAGCGTTGCTAAGTGAGTCAAAACATAGATAATAGAGTAAACTATTTACTATTACTATTTCATTTACTCTATTATCTATGGTCAAAATTGTTATTTTGTAAAATGTATCTACGTCACAAAATGACGTATTATAATGATATTCATAGAGGAATGGCGGCTGTGTTGTTTCAATCTTAAAACAGTCTTGCTGTTGCTGATAAGCAGTACAATAGCTGCTGGAGTCAACTAGCTTTCATAAAGGCCATTATTATCAGAAAATCTTGCTCTATTAGCTTTTTAAAAGAAGAATTATCAGTTAGGGCGCTCGACTACATGTGCTTATGTAAACTATGACATCATAAAACGTCATTGCGGTTAGCTTTGGTGTGCCATTGTTTATAGGGAGAACCTGGTTCTCGGGGTTCCCAAGGGCTGAGATACCCAAGGTTTCACAGATTTTGATGGACTTTGGCGACTAAGAACCTGTGAAAATTTCATCCTTATCTCACTTTCCTATAAAAAGTTATTCCAGTTTTTCTTGTCCCAAACTCAACTGGGATATAGTATAGAACAGGCCTGTAGCAAGCACCTCAAAAGTGGTCAGGCCAAGATGTGGGTGTGTCAAGGTGTAGGTGTGACAACCAAGAAAACAACTTATTATAAGCATTTGTTGATATTCCTACTTCACAGTTGGTGAGGAGCTCAGTGGTGGAAGTATCATCTCAGATTGAAAAGCAGCAGCTGTAGTATAAGAATTAGTCATTTTAAGCTGTTGATTGCCTCAAATTTAGTAGTTATTCATTTAATTGCAATAGCAATACTTTATAAAAATAAAAAATTGTTAAAAATAAGAAACAACACCCATTAATCAAGCCCTGCCTCCTTGCCACGCCCTTTTTTGGGCTAAAAAGTGGTACAGCTCTGGCTGTACCAGCCGTACCGCTTGCTACAGCCCTGGTATAAAAGACATGAAGAAATGTAAGTGTTGACATACAATCAATTATTTTACATCGCGGGGGCTAAATTCAATCTTAGGAACGACCTTGGGGTTTCACCCCAAGGTCATAAAAACTTATTTCCTAAAGTAAAACTTGATAAAAGTTATAAGTTCTATTTCACAATACCGATATCCTTTTTATTGCACTTGAACAAAGCGGACAACCCCACAATAACAACTCGGAGAAATGCAATACAGGAGTGAAGAGACATTTTGAATCTAGTTGAAACCGTCTGCTCAACTATAAAATAAGAATCAAGTCAACATTAAATGTAATAAACATTACCATCAAGACAGGTGGTGAGATTTTCCACTTCTTTCATTATCAATAATGAGTGGATCAATAATGAATATATAAATAACCACACGGAGCACACGAAGACTGATAATTAACGCCCGTAAACTCCATTAGTATATTCATAGTAATCTTTGCGAATAACAAAACAGCAAATTCATACATTTTAAGAAATTCATATATTTTAACAATATGTACCTCTTCAGTTATAGTTGATCCAAACTAAGAGATTTCACATGTCTTATATACCACATACCATGAATATAACATACTTGATATGTGATGATATACATGTATCCCCATTATGGCATATCCTAATGAGTAATGAATATGCATTATTATTCATTACATTATTGAGGCTTATTAATTAATAACCAACGTCTGTTGAAGGAAAAATTGTTGTCATACTTTTGATTGTTGACTGGAATTATTTTTTTGGCGTTAGATCAAACTAGCCACAAAAGTTTCATGTTCAGCCACAAAAGAATTCATTTCAAATGACCTCTCGTAAAAACAACAACATATTAAGAAAATTAACAAACAAACAATTTTTTACTTAATATAATGTACAAGTATATATTAAGTATAATAATAGCAAATATAAAAGGATATTGGTAGTTCATGTAGTAGGAGACCTCAATGCTTTGAAAGTATTCATCAGGTACAAACCGTGTCTGTACTAGTAACGCATTTCTGATCCTCTATCGGTTCATTAATCATTAATGAACCGATAGAGGATCAGGAGGGACAGGAGAGCATTAGAACACCTGCTGTAGGATTGAGTAGGAGGAGGAGGAGGTTCTTCTTGTTTTGGAGGAGAGAGAGGAGCAGAATGAGGCTGTCTCTTTCTTAGTCCATCATCAGTGGCCATGTGGGTATAATTCTAATTAAAGCACATGGATTAACTTCTATTTCAAGAGAGAACAGAGAAAAGGTGTCATTCTTCATCAGCAGCAGCTGCAGTGTGTGTGGCATGAGGGGACTTGGTCTTTCTGATTTCGCTATTTTCCTTACATTTGGAGTCGGAGGAGGAATTTATTTATTCAAACCATATTTTGATAAATTAAGAAAAGAAGAGAAAGAAAGAAAGAGTATCAACGAGAAACAACAAGAAACAAATAAAACTGTAAATAATAATAATAATAAATTAAATACAAAATAATTAACAATTACAGTATTATTATTAATTAATTAATAATCAATATTAATTAATTATAACGAGTGGGTGGGTATAACTACAATACTGAGTATCTCCCAGTCTTCTGGTACGGGTTCACGTGAGCCGCCAGTTTCTGTGCCTCCTCCTTCACCAGGTGCTTAATCTCTTGCTTAGCCACTGTGACAGACCTTTCCGTCTTCCCTTCAATCAATAAATGGAGTCTACTAGTATCAGTCAGTTTGTTTTGTTTGCCAGGTGGTACATAAATACCTCGTACTGATATGTAGGAGTCTGATAACTCTCCGATGTCATCAAGTACATCTCGTGTCGTTATCTTGAATCTTATAGACTGTGGGAAGTCGTTGATATCAATATCATCTTCGTAGTGTATCAATTGACTCAGACCGGTTTTATTAAATATATTATCTTCTTCCTCCGAGTCGCTCTCGTCTCCAGCCCCTCCCCCTGCCCCGCCCCCTACATTGGGTAATACAGTACCTACTGGTAGGTATGCTTTTGATGCCTTTGCTTTAGAGGCTCCGACTTTAGCGTTGATACTAGCAGCTATTTGAGATGCTAGTACTACTCCAGACATAGACACATCTTCTCCTTTCAGTACATTAGTCGCTGCCTCTTGAGCTGCTGAGGAGGTCTGGCCTGATGACCCAAGGTTCTTTAGAGACGCTATCTTATCAGCAATGGCGGCTGCTTTAGCAAGGTTCTTTGAAGCCGTGGGGTTAAGGTTTTGCTGGTTATTCTTGATGACGGGTATCTGAGGGGCGGAGGGGTCTATCTTACGAGGTTTCCCACTAAATACCTCTTCCAGTTTCTTCTCCATTGTCATGATAGCGTATTCATCTTCATCGTCAGAGTCTCCAAGGTTTAACGTGCTCTTTTGCTTCAATTTCTTCTCCAAAGACTGGGCGTTCTCCTCCTCAGTGAATTTAAATCCTTTCCCCTTAAAGCCAGCTGCTGATCTCTTCTTCACTTTAGTCTTACCCTCCGATTTCATCTGCTCAGTGAATCCCTTCCACATCTCAGCCAGTTCTTCAGGTACGGCTGCTCCTGATAGCTCAAGAGCTTTTAGTATCTCCCCAGAGAGACGTGACTGGTCAGGTGTGATGAACGTAAAAGCGAACCCTTTCCTTCCAGCACGTCCTGTCCTCCCACACCTATGGACATAGTCCTCATAATGATTCGGGCAGTCATAATTTACGACTAGTATCAGCTGCTTTACATCAAGTCCTCTAGCAGCAACTGACGTAGCAATAAGAAGTGGCATGGCCCCAGATCGGAAATCAGATATGACAGAGTCTCGATCCGATTGGTCCATTCCTCCGTGTAAAGCCATACAAGTGTAAGAGGCTTTCATGAGATCCTTTATTAATCCATCGGCAGTTTCTTGTCTCTCTACAAATACAAGTACACTCCCCTGCTCCTGGTACACCCCCAGTAGCTCCAGTAACTTGAGGAACTTTTGATTCGACTCTAAGACCACAACAGTCTGTTCGACATCTTTACAGACGACGCTCCGCCCACCCACCTGTACCTCGATGGGTTGAGTGAGTATTTTACGAGCAAGCGCCTCCATTTGACGAGGGAAAGTGGCAGAGAACATGACCGTTTGTCTATCCGGTCTCGTGTTATTAATAATCTTCATTACCTGGGGCTCAAAACCCATATCAAACATCCGATCGGCTTCGTCCAGCACCAGATAAGTGAGTCTCCTTAGATTTGTGACACGCCCACTATTAGCGGCTAACACATCAATCATACGGCCGGGAGTACAGACCACAATCTCCGCCCCTCTCTTTAGATCAGCTATCTGCTCACTGACTCCTGATCCACCATAGACACAGACCGTCCGCAACTTGAGCGGTTTACAAAACTTACGACATTCGTTGTAGATTTGAATGGCTAGTTCCCTAGTTGGAGCAAATATGAGAGAAATGGGACCATCTTCTGGTCCAATCTCGGGTTGATCTAAGACGTGACGAAACAGAGGTAACAGGAACGCTAAAGTCTTTCCACTGCCAGTTTTAGCAATCCCAATGACATCCTTACCCGACATGATGGCAGGTATGGCTTGGGCCTGGATTGGAGTTGGCTTCTCGTATCCGTTCTTCTTTATGACGTCCATTACTTTAGAGCTCAGCCCACACTGTGACCATGCCTTTACCGGCTTGGGACAATCCTTCCCCTTCACTTTAAGGCTCTCCAGTTCAATACGATACATGGAAACCTCTTCTTCTGTCATACGAGAGAGGACTGGAACCTCTTTATAAAAGTCCTTTCTGAATGGAGGGTACTCTATTTTCCGATGGTCGACTGTAGGGAGATCTTTCTTTTTAGTCTTTTTGAATATTGTTGATAGAGCGGATGCGAATTCAGCGTCATGTCCTTCCTCTTCGTCTGAATATTCGGCTGCATCTTGATCATTTTCTAGTAGCTCGCCTTTCTTTCCTGCATCCGTAGGCTCCACCCCTTTCACCTTTGTTACCGTGACAACAGTTGCTTTCTCCACCCCATCCCCCGCCCCCTTGTTATATTTCTGTTTAAAGTTCTCGTTCACTTTAATCACCTCTTGCTTGACATCGACCATAAAAGCATCCAAAGGATCAACTTCTTCTTCGTCTCCTCCTCCCTCCATTTTCTCTCCCTCTCCATTCTCATCGTCACTATCATCATCGTCCTCCAGTGTCCATTGCTTACGTCCAGTTCCCTCTTCCTCTAGCTTTGCTTGTGTCTCCTCCTCTTCTTTCTGTCTCGCTGCTCTCCAGGCTGCCATCCTTTCTCTTCTCTTCGCCATCTCTTCCTCGATCTTTTTAGTTTCTGCCTGTAACTCTTCAACTGTCGTCTCTCTTTTATTATCTTCACTATTCTCTGGTTCTTTCTCTTTATTATCGGCTAGTAAAGTGGGAGGGGCATTACTGACCCCACCCACTGGTATAAACCCACGTACTACTGGTTTAGGGGCTTCAGTCTGAGGCTCGGCAGTATGGGAATCAGTCTGGGGAGTATGGGAATCAGTCTGGGGAGTATGGGAATCAGCTGCTTGAGGAGTATGGGACTGAGGAGTATAGAAATCAGCCTCTGATATCGGAGATTCTTGGGATCGGAGTTCATCTATTTGAGTGGGCGTAGTTTTGTCAGTTACTTGTTCTTCTCCTTTATCCCTCCTTCCCTTATCTCTCCTGGATGGACTCCTGGACCTCTCTCTATCTCTTGATCTGTCTCTATCTCTTGATCTATCTCTTCTCTTTGAAGATACAGGACTACTCCGATTTCTACTTCTTCTAGGACTACATAAAATACAAGTACACATAAATTAATAATAATTCAATCTTACCTTCTACTGTGTTGCCGATGGCGACGGTGGTCTCTATGGTAACGGTCTCTACTCGAGCGTCTCTTATATCTAGTGGGAGGAGCTTAAATTAAGCCACACCCACTAATGGACTCACCTCTCACGACTTCTTGAGCGTGACCTTTTCCTTGACCTTTCTTTCCTCCTTCCCCTCCTCTCACCCTCACTCTCATCACCTTATTATTAAAAATTATTATTCATTATTATTAATTTATTATTATTATTATTATTAATCAATATATTCATGATCTTACTGGAGCTGCTAGATGAAGAGCTGGCAGACCTTCTCCTTTTATCTCTTGTCCTATCTCTGGGCATCTTTCACTGAATCTGTGGCTCCAGCTTCAACTCGTGTCGTTATATGGACGTATTTGAGTGAGCAAAGGGTTAAATTAGCAAACCACGCCCACTAACTATCTAGAGGTCAATGGCTGAATCTCTTTACAATGCTCTCCTCGCTAAAAGGAGTGAACCAGCTTTTAGAGGGAAAGGAGCACCTGGATGTGATATTAAAAGTGTCCTACTACCTATACATGTAATATGCTAAGATGTTTTAATTTATTTTATGATGATTTGTAGGGAGGTACTGATGATAGAGATCAGTTATTACTTAAATTATCAATAATAAGGCAATTATACGCTAGACAAGTATTATTAGAAGAAGATGCAGTCTCTTTAATGAACGATGTTACTTATCAACTGGTAATATCAATTATTTATAATATTTTATTTATTTGTAATTGCGGGCAGGTGAAGTTGCTGCAGAATGTTGATCGATTAATAGTTTATGAAGCAGAGAAGGCCAGTGTTGCCGTACTGTCTAATCAAAATTGCACAGTAAAAGTAATAATCATAATGATGACAATAATTGATAATAATAATAATTGATAATAGATTGTAAAAGATACTTTAATAATGCTGACTCAACAAATGCTTAGAAAAGAAGAACGTACAACAGAATATGGTAAATAAAATATAATTATTAATTGATTTAATATTCTCTTTTAGAAATGGTTTACAGTTTGCAGCTGCTAACTGAACTTTTAAAAGCAATCAGAAAAGAAAACAAAACACCATTGACTAGTAAGTAATAATAACATTTGTAAAAATAATAATAATAATAATATTTTATGTAGTAGCTAAAAAAGATTGCTGTTTCATGGTCTTATCATCTTGCTGGAATCAACTTTTTAAAAAGATAGTCTCTCCCCTTCTTTCTTCTCCCCCTCTTCCTCGTGTTGATGTATGTAAAATGGCTGCTACTGTTGATCAAAGTCTTCTGCAGTTATTGCTTCTCATGATTGAAATCCTCAAACATTCAAACATTGAAACTCCCATACTCCATTCCTTCCAATCACCATTGATACTGGGTGACATATCTCAAGCAGTTCAAAGCTCCTTCTCTCTCATCTGTTACACAAAATTATGTGATCTATTTAGAAAGCACCTTCTACTATTGGATGATGAAGGTGGAGTTGGGTCACCACTCCTCATTTTGGATTTATTTATGAATCATTATGTTAGTTCACATAATGTCTTCATTGATGATTGGTTCACTCGTCAGTATGATCAGATCAGTGATACCTCATCAATTGAGTATTCTATTGTTGATACTTACATTAGAAAATCACTGCTAATCTCATTGCAGCTAGCAACACAGGATGTAACAGGTAAATAATGACAAGAACATTAATGGTATGATCCTCTTTTATTTTCAGATTTGGTTCATGAAAGATTATTATTTAAACCAGTTCAGAGATTCATGCAATATTTAAGAGAAGTTTCATTAAAGAAAGGAGAGTCTTATATCAATGTATTGTTGCAGTTGATCAGTGAACAGGATACCTGTCTTGTAGAGACATTGACTTACTCTCTCAAACTAACTGAACTCCAGCAGGAGAGAGGGAGCTCAGAATTAATACTGAACATTCACGAATTATTTATTTCATTTCTTGACAGTATCACGTACGATGAATCAACACTGATTGATTTCATCATTGATACTGATACAAGATTTGATTCATTTCTTAACTCCTATCTCCAGCACAGTAACAAAAATGGAGGGAATGCTTTAGCTCAATATTGTACAGAGAGAAGTAAGAATGAAGAATCAACAGTACAACTAGTTGATTACAGTGACAGTGAAGATGATGAACAGATTGAAAGTACAAGATGTGAAGTTATGCTAACCAGATTGAGAGATAAGTTGATAAAATTAGAGAAACAGTCGGTTATACCAGCTGGTAAACTGCCCACTGTACGAGACATAATTAAAAACATCATTTTATGATAATTGTTATTATTATTATGATAATAATTTTAAAATGATTTTCTAAAATGAAAGTGCACTACATAGTCTGAGTCAATCTTCTGTATTGATATGATGAACGGTTCATAAGGATGGAATATATAAGCAACTAGTTTCTTATTGCCACCTCCACCAGCACTGCTGGAGAGAATGAAACTGATTTGAGAACCTTTACGAGTAAAAAACCTAATAATAATAATAATAATGATAATAATAATAATAATATATAATAATAATAAAATTAATATTAATTAGCTCCATACCTGACAGGGGTATCCCCACATGGTTTAGGTCTTTCCAGAGCTGATATCCACTTGTCATCATAACGGAACAAATTAAAATCTAAATAAGGACTCGAAGAGAAAGACTGCGAACAAACTGGTACTTGAACTAATAGTCTTTTCGTGGCTTCAATGACTCCGCCATGCCTAGCGTTAGTTATGGTAAGTTTAAATTTTTGATGTAACTGTCGACAATAGTAACAGTTAGAGACACAGCTGTTGTTCCAGTTGAGAGGATGAGAGACAGAGACTCGGAAACTTTCCGCGCTATTTTCGTAAAGTTTTAAAAAGTCCAAAGACGAGTTTTCATATACACCGAATATCTGAGTAGTATCAATGTCATAAAAAACAAAGAAGGCTGGTTGTGAGAGAGGATCACTCACTCGCATTGTAACAACATCTTCTGTGGAATATTTTAATAATAGGGTACTTTCATCTAGCAGCTGCATTTTCCATATTCGTAACGAGTTATAATAATCAAATCGTCTATAAAACTGCATCAGGTGAGTATTATTGCCTGTGATCAGTGAAACCTTCTCTGCCTCTTTCTTAATGTAACATAGCAACCGATGCTTTAGCGAGTTTATCCATTTCTCTAAAAATGGCTGATGCTGTTGGCTTTGAGAGGAAATAGACCACTCCCCATTAGCCATACTGGAATGAATACTGGACGTAAATAACTGATTGTCGCTATGGTAACAAAATCGACCAATCACCTGCAATGGAATAAAGAGCCCATCAACAATATCAAACAAATGAATTGATTGATGTTGTGATGAGAGAATGGCTAGTTTGGATCTACAGAGAGAAAGACCTTGGTTGTGAGAGAGGAATATCTTATCGCATTTAAACGAGCGACAATCAGAAACTCCACTCCAGCCTCGCTTTAAGTTTAAAATGTGAATCGTGTAATTTTCAAGTAAGAATCTATAATTAGGCGAAAGTGATTCGTTATTTTGAAATGTTTCGAACATGTGAGGGGGCACATCATCAGGGAGGGGGTAGGAGGAGACGACTATGACGTAATCACAATTTTCTAAAAATAGACTACACTCTCTGTTGAGTACCTCATTCCCATGGCAGACAGAGATAGAGATGACGTGCTCAAAAAAAGTTTTAAAAACTGCATTTTGATCATCGTTCTGAAGGTTGGGAGCTCCCACCGTTGAGCCCCTGAACTGAAAATATTCCACTGAGCGCTGGTCCTGAGAAAATGCCAATAAATGGCGCCCATCTGGAGAGAATTTCCTCAAATAGCAGCCATCAGGAGTCTTAACGTTGCTGTAATGGGCGTCTGGTACTAGAACTGTGTATAATTCTCTGGTGTGGTGATACCACTCGGAAGGACTCAGAGTATCAGTGGCTCTGGAGCGTAAATGAGTCAATAAATGTGTGGAGGGGCATCCTCGAGGTACCTCAGCTTCAGACGCCATCTTTAAGAGTAGGAGGAGCAATGAAAGTTAATTACTCCACCTACTCGTGAATAATTAATTAGACTAGGCACGACTCTAATTTAACGAACAGTGTAAAATATTGACGTGGGTGTGGCTACCGCTACAACTCGATTTGCAACGAGTGAGTAAGAGGAGCTGCTGATAAAGGCATTTCAGGTCTAGTAGTAATATAATTATAAGGTTAGTGAGCCGTGGACTCTCTCCTTCTCCTAGTATGGGCTCTAATAACTCCTTTACGGGCCACATTTTTGTACCGTTTGACCGTTCCCAGCCCACACACACACACACACACAAACCAAAGCAATCATTATAGTGTACCATTATAATAATGATACTGTCCTCTATATATAGTAACAGTGTATATTATTACACTTTGAATAACTGTCATACCTTTACTAATCTTTTGTCCTTAACTGTGAGTGAGGGAGTGTCTTAGGCTATATATATTTCTACCTAACAAGGGCTAGTCTCATTATTATTATTATTTTATTTTATTTATTTATTTTGGTATGTCTGGTCCTTATAGAACTCCATTGGAGACAGCAGGTGGTACTAAGATGGTTCAGACTTACAAGATAGCAGTCCTTGGAGATGGAGGAGTAGGAAAATCAGGTATTAATTATTTATTATTTTATCATTTATGATTATTATTATTTTTGTAAGTTTTTCTTTTGCTAGTTAAACTTTACATAATGACAGCCATTGTTATTATTTATTTTTCATTTTGCAGCAATCACCATTCAGTTCACTAGTGGTATCTTTGCAACTGACTATGACCCAACAATAGGTTAGTACTGCTGGAGCTACAGGCCGCTCTCTCTCCCCTCTCTCTCCCCTCTCTCTCTCTCCTCCTCTCCTCTCCTCCTCTCTCCTTATCAACATGTAGTCAGAGATTATGTTAAGATAATGTTGTTATTATTATCATGAAGGAAATTTAGACTAAACACTTCTAGACTTATTCCATTGTATGTGACAAATGACAATCTTTCTCTTCCTCTCTTTCTCTCTCTCCCTCCATACAGAGGATGCTTATAGGATTGATGTTGAGGTTGATGGTGAAGTGGTTGGTTTAGACATTA